TGATCAAAAAAGTTGCAATTTGACGCCAACGATATCAATGGCAGAAAGTGCACTTGTAAAGTTGAAATCAACTTGTTTCACTTTATACGCCTTTCTGGAGGCTAATAGCACACCACCACATGTGCTGGTATCGGTATCTTCAAAGTTCCGATCATACCGAAAATATTATAATCACTCTCACTCAATGCAAGATCGTAGGTAGAAGCATAAGTCACATTTAGATGCGCATTCCAGCTGAATTGCTTCATTAAGTAACCCCAAATTTTCTACTTTCCAGATAATCAACCGTTGCAGTTCTCGTATACTTCTCTGGGGAAAACCTTCAGCAGTTCCAATATCTGAGCAAAATCTGTATTTCTGAAACAACACATTCATGTGCAAAGCTCGAAGTTTACCCGCCTCACTCTATTTTTCTGTGGCAACTACAGTATATTGGCACCTAGGCTTCGCTTCCATGACTGCTCAAGTGTAGGTATTCAAAAACTCTCGCTGCCATCAGGAGTGTGCGCTCGCTCATTTTATGAAATTACGTTTCTTTTGTGCCACTGTCCCGGAAAATAAAAAGCTTTTGCAATGTGCATGCAGGTATGCATCACTTCCAGTAAACGACATTCATTAAAAATTCATGCATTGTAGTTTACATAGAAACCTTGTCTTTTAGAAACGTATATATTAACATAACTAGTTTTACGCACTGTACGATGATGGCAGGGATGAAAGTACATTCATTACTAGAGAAAATAAGCTTGTCTGTGGAGGCTAGAAGCACCGCAAGACGACAAGTTCTATAACGGTTAGATTTCGTATCAAGATTTTTACATTATTATTATAAGTAGTTCTCCTTAAGGTCTCCACAAACTTTAAAGAATACTTAGAACAGAAATATTATTTTTGCGCCAGGCATGCAGAATTAAATATTGGGGTATTACTAAAACTAAAATATCTTGCAAGAATAATATATAATGCCCTAATTGAAAGCCACACCAATTATCGTGTAATAGTTTTGAGATCTGTTGAGAAAATGTATATAGATCAGCTAGAGAAAATCCAAAAATTGATACTCAAAATAATGCATAGTGAATCAATGACTACCCTTGTTTTTTTTTTTTTTTTTTTTTTTTATACTCCAACTACCACGAAGGCCTAAGGCCTAAGCACCCATTGGGTACCGTGGGGCTATGGGGGATACATGGGAAAGGGGGGACGCCACACGGACTCTGGCGAGGGAACACGTGTGCATGCAACATGCACACATTCTGGCTCCGCCTACGAGAACCGCCAGGTGGTACCTCCACGTTCGACAGTCAGAGACCATCTACCACCTACGGACAATCACAACATCCATGGCCAAGAGAAACATTTCGCACGGCGGCTGATCAGGAGACCGAAGAGTCTACTACTGCGGCCACCGCTGCTACCTAAAACAAACACACAACATCCATGGCGAAGGCGAGATTCGAACTCGCGGCCCGGCCGGTCGGCTGATCAGTAGCACGACACTCTGACCCACGCGGCCAACCGATGTATCTAGAAGAGACCTTATAATCTACCTCCACCAGAAATATTAAGAACAATAATATAAATGAATTCAAAAGTGACGTAAAGAAATGAATACTGTTCAAAAATCGACAATTCGTTCATAATACGGTTGATATAAAAAGTATTACACATAAAATAATGAGACAATGACAAATCTTATCCATGATTGAGACATTAATAGATAAAATTGTCGATGTGAAATAGTCAAAGTATGTCCTACATGCACTTACCAGTCGTCAGTCCTAAAATCAATCACTGTATTGTTACTTTAAGTGAATTTTTGTTTGTGTATCTGTATCGTATCGTGTCACTGTTAATAATTAACACAAAGATCTTCCTTGTTCAGTATACTTCTTTATTTATTCATATTTTATCAATTTCAGCTATTATACAAATGCAATATTTTTTTTTCGAGTATTTTACCTTACACGTTCAAGCAATTGTAAGAAAGGATACCGAATTAATAATTATTACTAATACGAGCAACAACAGTATAAGCTAATCAAACCTGAACATCGATTAGGGTTAAGTCATTCAAAACTATCTAAAGGGTACCAGATCTCTGTCCATAAGACAGTCCACTTTATTGATTATACATTAGATATTTATTGCCATTTTTCTAAAAATTATGAGTATTACAGATACATCATGAACAAGCACAACAGGAGCAGTAACATTTTCTTGTGTGAGTTAGTCTACTACATATCAGAGAAAGATCGTAGTTCGCACTCTGAACAAGAATGAGTAACGCAATTTTAAGTCCAACCAAAATAACTAAATTTCCACAATAACCAATATCTGAAATAATTTATGAAGATGAATTTAATTTTTTTTAACGCTGGTTAACAATGATTACACGGCAACCATCGTATATATACCTCTTTGCTCTTCCCTTTCCGCCCTTCCGTTCTTTCCTCTTTCTTCCTGATTTTCACTGGTGTCCAGGCAACGAGATTTGTCAGATCTACTAACCTATACCACTTCAACCAAGAGCAAGGGTGCTACAGACGGCTGTGACAGATAATGAAATAGGGTATTGATTCTTTTGTCATGAACGATGTCTCGATGTGGTTCGGGTGAAAATCCTCGTTACTTCCGCCTCAAACCGTTCAGTACAGCGAAAGTTATCCAACAACTCTATCTGAGGACCTGTAATTGGCTCAGCTGGGACTAAAGAGTTCGTTTGCCTCCAACGAACGTGTCATATTATCAATTAATAGTTGAAGTCAAACTTTCCTTTCTTAACTGTTCATGTAACTCTCAGGAGAAATTATTCATAACTCTCCAAAGTCTCCTCTAGTTTTGAATCGCTCAGGCCCCACTGACGAATATTCGCTTTTGTATCAGTCTGCTTCAAAGGCGGAGCTTAAAGTACTTTCCGTTGCAATCGCAGAAACGTAATGGGGAATCGATTTCGGCTATCAATAAAAAACTAGGTATGTTGTACATCTTAACGTGCCAATCAAAAGTTTCAGTGGACCCAACGACTTCCAGTTACAGGGCTCCCAAGTAACAGTCTAACCAGTACATATATTATACAGGTGTTCCGCAGGGTACCATACTTGGCCCCCTCCTATAAGCAATATATGTCAATGACTTTCCCTTCAATTCTTGGTGATGTATGCTGACGATACCTCCTTACTTGTTAATAGAAGAATCTTGGAGTACGTGGCAGTAATAACGGCCTGGTCTTAAACAATAACAAGACAGTGTTCTTCAGATTTAACTACTCCAATATGCACATAGACCGTAGTTTCCTTATAAAATCGAGCGTTAGATCGATAGAACAAGCAGGAACTATAAAATTTTTAGGAATTTACATATCAAAAACTGTAAATGGGGTACACATATCAAGGGTGTCTCAACAAGAGCGCCGGATTAGAATTTGCCCTAATTTTTTTTATACAAATGGTATGGTGTTCACTTGATGACAGCTGTCATATCCAGGCCACGCGATTAGACGTCATGGAGCAGTATTTAAACGACCAACGTTCAATTATTGTGAAAACTCACTACAAAAATGGAGAAAATTACGCGCAAACAGTTCGAAAATTACGTAAAATTGTCGTTCGCAATAATGCCCCAAATGAGTCGGCATTTCGCCATTTAATTACAAAATTTGAGACAAAATGCACGTTGCTGAATATGAAGACCACTATTCGTCGCCGTCCTGGTCGAAAATATAGTCGCAGTGTGGGAAAGTGTGGCCGAGAATCCGGGCACTTCCATTCGGCATCGTAGCCAAGAATTGAATGCGGACCAAGTTTCCAGACCGTGTCATCTCTCGGTTTGGCGATCAAAATTGGCCACCAAAATCGTGCGATCTAACGCCAATGTACTTCTTCCTCTGGAGGAAAAGGTGTATGTGCGAACAAGCCACAAACAGTTGAACGCCTTAAAGAGGAGATACGGCGCGTTATCGACGAAATGGAGCCACAGTTGTACGGAAACGTTATCCAGAATTTCAAGAAAAGACTGACCCTGTGCGAGAGGTTTCGTGTTGGAGATTTACCGGATTTCCTATTTCATGTTTAATCGCAACCATTCCTCTTCATGCTAAATACAAATACTTGCTTAATTAGGAAATAAATTGTGCATTTCTTGAAAATCAAATCTGGCGCTCTTATTAGATAAAGCTAGTCAAGAAGTTACCCCAATAGCTCAGTTTTATCGTTGATAAGTGGATATTGTTAATGTTTTACTATTCACATATCCATTCTACTCTGGCTGTGGAATGGAAGCATGGCGAGCTCCCTTCAAGTCACAAAGGATTTTTATAATACAAAAAACAGTTATTAGTACTACTACAAATATGGGAAGCCGCTTTAGTTGCAGGGAATTATTCACAACTGAAGATATTAACGCTTCAGTAGATATACTGATTTACGTCAAAACACGCTAGACAATTTTAGTTCTATAAATTCTAGAATTTACAGTACAAGAAATAGAGAAGTGTTGGAGGTGTCGACACATAGGTTGTCAAGAAGGATGGTCCCAAATACATGGCAATCAAAATCACTACCGCTGACACTATTTAAAAAAATAATCAGGCAAATTTTACTGGATAAACATTTCTACTCTCTAGAATAATTTCTAATGTGTGATTGTCCTTTTTAATTGTTTCAATGTATTGTTAAATTTCAAATTGTTGTTTTATTGTCATTTCAATTTGTTTTCATGTTTATTGACCTAGTGTTTTTTATTTGATATTTGAATATTATGTATCTTTTCAAACCTTTTCATACAAATATTACATTGTGACTCATCCTATGTCACCTTGTGATCCACAAATGATTAGTATTTAATATTATTATTTTGAAAAATAAGAATAAGGTTGTCAAGTCGGCCTCAAAATCAGCTCCAATATTGATGAGCGACATACATATTTGAGTTTGCATGAGTAGGATTGCTTATATATTCCTTACCGACCATTTTATGAGTTTTTTTAAAGACGTACTCACCATCCGTGTTAACTGCAGAAACGTATGTCCACCCGAAGTACCTGACGATGTCCAGCATTACTTGGGCTTGATAATAATCAGATGGCACTACCCGTAGGAAATAGTTAAATCTGCTTTTATCCGACAGATCTCTTGATGTAGTAGAATATCCAATCTGAGACAAATGAAAAAGTTGTAGCAAATTCTGCACTTGAAGTGCGACAGAGCTAGATCCTGGTCCCACTACACCTATCAAAGGTCCTCGAATGGCGGATCTGTTAACATTGATCTCAGACCTGCAGGTGTCTAGACTAGACGGGGTTATGGAATCTCTGATAAACTCAATACTTTGCTGAAGTGCTACTGGAGCATACCAGCATTCGTCTCTTATCTCTACACCGAGAGTGAGGTTTGGCAACAGATTTGGATCATTGTTAATCTTATCCAGAGTCTGGAAAGTCGCCTCGACCCTTTGAATGCCGTAGTGTTCTCGAATTCCTCCACAGCGTATTCCCAAATTGGTCATTGATCCTTTCTTCGATTGCGGGGGATAGTGAACAGGCAATAAGGCTCCAATGGTAAAGTTGCCGTTGATAAAGGCAGAAACTTGCTTCTCTGGTACTGTTTGGATGGATAAACTTGCAATGATAGGTATAATCAAAGCAATGGACCATGATTCAGACATCCTCTTCCCGCTTGGCTGGTAGAACCTGGTGAGCTGCCGACAGGTGCTTCATTTTTGCGAAAGCAACCTTTAAAAGAAACATGTGTAAGTATATTCAAGAAAATATTAATATCGATTATAAGGTTATTCATAAATGTATCCAAATTAGTAAATTTACTACGAATTTGTTTTAGTGAAAAGTATGTCACAAATATTTCATAACATTAATGAGTTTTAGTGTTCTGGTTACAGATTTGCAATCAAACAGTTCCAAATACTGTAGATTGCGGACTATCAATTTATAACTTACTAATTAGCACAAAAAGCATCTTTCCGCATTTTGAGGATGGATTCAAAGAGGTTGTACGAGATGAAAATTAGATTTGCTGTAGACAACCACTTTTTCATTAGCATTCACATCCAAACCTCTGGATCTATTTTTCTTCCAAACCTTTCTCTTTGAGTAACACAATAGACAAAAAATGCTTGCATCACAAAACTAAGCACAACAAGGGACTGATGGTACTGTAACCTTCCAGACGTTAGATGTCACCACAAAATAGATATACACCTTACACCTGAAACAACGTTGCTTACAGTTGGTTATAGTCACGGTGACGGAAATCAAACAGATCGTATAAATTCTGTGTTCAGTTTACATTTGTATATTACGTCGAAGCTGGTAGGATGGTGAGTGCTTAGTACTCCACTGATTCCCGCTACCAGCGTAGGGGTCAGAATTATCATGTTTAGTGAACTAATCATAGGGGACTGTCACCTGGCACATTACAATAACTAAATCTATACCGTGATGTGTGTAAAAAGTATGAGGCAACACTGTATACGGTTGGTTATATGGCCACAGAGACAGAAGGCAAACATGTCCTATTCAGAAAAGATTATTCTTACAAAGATTAGTGATAGAACAATTTAGGACTCTAAATCTTTTCAGGGATTTGCTAAATCCCAAACGTCTGCAAGATTATATATACATATATCTTCCCGTTACGGAGCCCAAACTGAGTACTTCAAAGGCATCACACAGTTTTGTGAGAAACGTCTAATCGGGAAGATGCATACAAATTTTGGATGCAAAGACAATCAGCGAAAAGTTCGGAAAAACCTATGACCGCTGATTTAAATAATATCGATTAGCTTTTTCCTTAAAAAATACCCAATGAAATTGCAATTTAACTTTATATAGCACGAAATTTTTGTCAAACAAACGCATCATTACGTACTAGGTGTGCCCTAGCGGTAATGATGCCTAACATGACCGCCCATATAGCAACATCCAGGGGGGGGGGTATGTTTGGTTTACCTGTTGTGCAGGATCAAAAATGCTGAAAACTAGCCAACCAGTTGGTAACAATTTAATTTAAAGATGGGGGGAGGGGGCATAATATATTCTATGTTGGAATGTTCCACTTCTTACCCAAGATTGGGTATCTTATTAAGAATTTAAAAATATTTCACTTTGAAGCAAAATCCAGGGGAGGGTATATGACCCCCCTGTAACCCTTCCACCAAAGAGCGCCCATGATTCCTAATGTTCTATAGATGCGCTGCTGCTGACGCTCTTTTTATCTGAACGAGGATGGTTGACAGATGCATTTTTGATTGATCATACAGTTGACACTTTAATACTTCAAACATGGCTCGTATTTAAAAACTTCAAACTTCGACCTCTTCGACGGGGTGATAAAAGTAAGCACATTTAGTTGAGGTGTAATCTACTCTCATTAATACATGATCCATTTATTATGATTAAATTATTTTCAGAATGGTTCAGACAAATAGATATTACTTCGTTAAGAGATGCCATTGTCAGACTTTTGCAATACGAAATCCAGGAACATCTTTCGATATAATCCAATAATAGGTAGCAGCGAGCTACACAAACACACACACACACACACACACACACGCACACACACACACACACACACACACACACACACACACTTTATAATTGAACCTAAGACTATGTTGGAGAAAGAGATGTTTCTGCATATAACGTAGTGTTATTGAAAAGTGAAGACACGCCATCCTGTCATTGAATCTTGTATTTGTTATAGACTTAGTATTGGCATGTGTCGCAACGCATGGAGTTATATCTGTTGCTGCCGACTCACTGTGTATTTGATTTTCCATAATAAAAACAACGACACTTCGTAACGTATAAGCTTTCAATCACGGTGATGAAAGGAACATGGTGATAAAACAACCTCTTTCCCTAATACCTACAATGAACCGCAATGTATTACACAGATGTCGATTCGAGTAAACATAATGCTCGCCGGATATTACTCATTTGAGGTGACGTCAAATCGATGTGGGTTATCACAGCTTGTGTTAATTGCAGCTTTGTATTGTACATACTGATTTGATGTAAGCTCTCAAACGAGATTTTTATCCTGTAATATACACAGCTTTCCTGGTCAGATTAATATAGGGGGTAATCTAAAAATAGAAGGCTTTTAACATACTAGTATACTAGAGTGATTATAAAATCTTTTGATGTATACTAGTAAACTATGGAAGTGAAGGGCTGTGGTTCAACAGGTAGCTTTGAACAGCACATTTTGTGGATGGGATGTATAGGTTGAGAGGTTCTTGAGGTAGAAACCAGAAATTGGAATTTTGGCCGACATTATGCTTTGGGATAAATATTTCCATTTGTCCATACCATGTCGCTAAGCAAAAACTTCAACAGACCCCTCACTGCTCACCTACTGACAAGTTGTAAAAGAAACATTTAATATAACGGATTATATTAGTCTTCATTTAGCGACTATTGGTCATGCTCACTTCAGTGATGTTAAATAGATGCTCATATTTCAAGTTCTATAATCAATCAGTTTCCAGTAATATTTTTATTCAAACTAATTATAAATAACCATCTCCTTACGATAACAAACTAACATGATTATCATCATTTTGGTGATGGGTAAAATATAGAAATCGTAGCAGAAACATGAAGTATTTTTGAACTGCCTAAGGTTAATAGAACTGGGTAAAGTAGGCCTAAATATTGGAGCTTGTATTAAGTGCGTGTACTAACAATTAATGATTCTACATACCTATATTCTTTTTATATATTTAAAAATAAAATCAATTAGTGCACGTCTTAGAAAAGATGGTGATGGTGATAGATGATGCTTTGTGTTGTCGTTTTCCATGGACCTTATGCTCTCTTATGCTTATGTAGAGCTGCTGCTCAGCTTCCATTCGTTGTCCTCCGAGACCTAGCCTACACCATATTCAAGAGTTGCCAAATGTTTCTCTTGTCCTGGTTTACTTTTTAGGTTTTTTTAATTATTACGAATATTGATACTTTTTATCTGTTCTCCCTTATTCTACCGCTTGCCCAGCTCTTCTTTGCCATTCACGAAGGATAAAGATGTTAAAATGGGAATATTAATAATATTGCCTACCCTCAATGAGCCTTCACATCAATGCCCGGTCATCAACGCCAATGCCCAATTATCGTCGTAGCTTGTAAAATAAATAAACGCCCGTAACTACAAAAAAAAACATTCATCATTTGGAAATTTTAAATCTGATTAATTTTTGATGATATATCAAGAACTCATATTTTTCTAAGCCATATTTGAGTGATTGCAGTTATTTAAACAATGACAAGACCCAGTATGCTGAGTTACTGAGAATCATAAGTAAAAATACCAGTAACTTTAAGATCTCTTTGCGCAAATCATGTCTGCTCAATATAGTTTTGAAACCATTTCTGCAATGCATTAACTAAAGAAACTTTTCTCGTTCTAGTGTAGTATATTCGTTCAAAGTATTTGCACACAATGACAGTAGCAAACATTTAGCAACTGAATACCCATAGAATACTTTTTACATAAAAACAAAACAAAGACCATTTTTCAATAAGATGAAAAACATGCATATACTATATGTACGAGTACATAATAATATGTGCTGAAAAATATCTATCTCATACAAAGAAAAAAATTAAGTTTTCATTTTAGACAAACTAGAATTTTCTTTTGGAGGGAAGTTTTACCCACTTTCGCTGTAGAAGCACCATTCCCATAAGAACAATATTCAATTATTTCTGAACACCAGACAATAATGCTCCGTATCATTGCCGTCGCTGAAACCCTGTATCAGCTTAATGTATTCCCATAGCAATATTCGGTTTCAGAGAGCATATCTACAGACAGGATAGAGGATTTAACAGAGTTTATTCCATGAAATCAGCTCCATTGCTATCGGCTTTTGGATAAAGTCGTTCACCGCGTTTTCACCAAGCTTAGCGAACTAACCAGGAAACTATGTGAATTATTAAACGACATTCGACTCAATATGGTATTAGCAATTTAGCTACTTGGAACGCAATTTACATACATAGTTTGAGCAAGAAGAAGGGAGATCAAAAATGCTGTCAGACAAATACAACGCTCTAGCGGTTAGTACGGTCACGATGACGAGGCAGGTCTCGGCTATTGCATCCACAGCGTATTGTATTTTTAAATGTTGTGCGTAAAATTTGAAAAGAACTACTTTCGTTAAGACTTTGAAGTTTGAATGTGATTTCGTGCATCACAAAGAAGGATAAAATTGACAGGCGTTTACGATGAGATGGGCAGCCGAAATTGAGTAGTAAAGTATGTGGTAGATAGTGTTAATATGCACTGTGTTTGAAAGAAGAATTTTGTATATGTTGGGTAAGCAATTTATCGCAGACCGTTCCCGCAAGAACCTTGAAAATGACAAAACTTGTGTGTAGAATAATTATATTGTGACGCCCTGTATAGTGCGGTAGGTCATAGACAGCTGGTGTGTCAATGTTAGTGCTTTTGATTTCTGTATCATGTGTAGGTTAGGTATGTTGAAGGATTTTGAGTTGCGTAGGGTGAATGTGCCAGTTACCGAACAGTTAGATAAAAATAAAATCTAAAATGTAATTACAAACTTATTGTTCCAAGATAGCTAATGTTTTTGGAGGTGATCACATAATTATGTTGATAACTTTTTGCCGACAACAAATA